TAGGGGGATAAACAGTGTTGTAGAAAGTATCAACACCACTCTAGTCTAAAATTACTCATCCAACCATTCCTATTCACTGTTATTTACGTCAATAAAATTGTCCTTGATAGCACTTAGACACTTATGTAGACCATGGCAAGATTTTCATTTGATCACAACTTCCATCAATTCATGAGAAGTGTTCAATTTCTTCCCTAACTTCTCCACATCAGTAGCATAAAGCATCATTTTGCCTAACTCCTTACATTGTCACCTGCGGTGTCGGGCTAATGCAGTTCACAGCATCTTCACTAGGGGGCTCTGTACAACACTGAGCCTTTCAAATGGTAAAGGTTGTATGCTATGGTAGTAGGGATGGGATCAGACAAATACAGGGTTATTCAAACAATCACAAGTGCTGGGCACAGAAGCAGACTTTGCATGTAGAATCATTTCCGTAACAAGATAAAATATTCTTCGTCAAGGGAAAAATCCTTCTTAATTCAACTGCCACTCTCCTTACTATGCTGAAAACACATTAAGCTTTACAATGGCCATGATTTTTTTAATGGTATTAACAGCTTTGATTTTATATACTAGAGCTCGAAATATTTTCTTCATACCTGTACCGGAGCAGGCAACATTCAAAATTACCTGCACCAGACAAATTTTACCTGCACCACTTTTTTTCTTTGCCTTTTCTTAAGTCTACCATAAAGAATGTTTTGAAAACACTCCTAGAAAACTCATTTACAAGGAAACCAACAGAACTAAACCATCGTGAAAATTCAATGAATTACACATACACTGTACAATATTTGGAGCCCTATAACCTATACATTATGTGCAGTAGTATTATAATTACAGTATAGTATGTTGAAACCTTAAGTGGTTTATAAATGTTACAGTGAAGGTGAGAGAAAGGTTGACCCCCAACATTGACAACTGATGAAGCAGGGATTGTTCAGCTAAGTGCCTGGTGGGTTTTAACCACCTGAGACCACAGCGACTGTACAATCTCCAATGTTACCTAGGCCATGTTGATTTGATTGTATGGATGACATCCGCGCAAGCATGAATTCTCGTCTGTTTGCAAGAAAAAATGTTTTTGGCTATACTGTAAATCATATAAAGCAGCTCCAAAATGAGCAAGTGTATGCTATATATTGCAAAAAAAAACAAAGATTCTAATGTCGTAGAATGCCAAAATCAATTTCAAAGGAAAGGGAAAAAATGTGAAGAAATGAAAATGAAGACTCTATTATTCGCCATACCATTTAGTCAATTGTTTAACCCTTATGTTCACATAGATTTCATAATGAAGGCACCTTTTTTTGCCTATTTTTTTTTATTCGCACGCTCGCATCAGTTTTGAGGTTCCCAGAGGATGTCATCCAGATAATCAAATCAACATGGCCCAACAGCAAAACGTCAGCATTGGTAGCTTCCAGAAGGACAGTATGCCATTTTCAACCATCAACTGAAATACTATTAACGTTAATGGAACAGAAAAGGATTGTGTTTTTACCAGGTTGGGAAAGCTTTTCCATTTAGTTATGGAGCAATGGAAACTTTTATGTGGTTTTTCATGATACGGTACATATTGAAATCTTTCTGCTGGTTTTATTTTGTCTACCATGAAAACATGACTAATAGCTTTTCTAAATCACATTTAGGTACCTGTTCTAAATCTAATTCATATACCAGGTCCTGTACTAATACTACTATATACTAGATATCAAAATTCTAATCATATACTATTAGGCATTAAATCTAACTACTTTTACTGTGGTCTTGGGTCATTACAGACAATTACATTTGTTATGTATCGAATGGAAATTGGAGGTAACAGGTCTACAATATTGTAGGTCTTGGAATAAAATGAGTATTTCAAACTTTGATGTGTTTTCTATTAGTAGGCTGTCCTCTAATCTATCTGTAATGTAACTCATGCTGGGAAATTAGGTCGTATTAGGATTTTTGTCTTAGAGTTAGATCTAAAGATTCTGGGTTCGAATCCACAGAAGGCCCCAGTGTTGTGCCCTTGGAAAAGGCTTTTTACACCTTAGCTTTTTCACTACAAAATTAATTGCATTTACTGTAAGTTCACCATTGTGAATCACTGTGGTACAAGTCATCTGAGAATCAAGATTATATCACACAGACTTGAGTTAGAAGAACAAGAGCCGGTGCTATAAGCTCAGTAGTGAATCTGAACCACAGCAAAAACCTGGACCTTTTCCCTCCTAATGCAAAATATCACCTTACCACAAAATTAAACACATTTCCCATAAATTCACACTCAAGACCACTGTGGTACAAGTCATCTGAGACTACTACAGAATCAAGATTAGATCACACAGACTTTAGTTAGAAGAACAAGAGCTGGTGGCATAAGCTCAGTAGTGAATCTAAACCACAGCAAAAACCTGAACCTTTTCCCTCCTAATGCAAAATATCACGAACACAAACACATTTCCCATAAATTCACGCTCAAGACCACTGTGGTACAAGTCATCTGAGACTACTATAGAATCAAGATTAGATCACACAGACTTGAGTTAGAAGAACAAGAGCCGGTGCTATAAGCTCAGTAGTGAATCTAAATCACAGCAAAAACCTGGACCTTTTCCCTCCTAATGCAAAATATCACGAACACAAACACATTTCCCATAAATTCACGCTCAAGACCACTGTGGTACAAGTCATCTGAGACTACTATAGAATCAAGATTAGATCACACAGACTTGAGTTAGAAGAACAAGAGCGTGTGGTATAAGCTCAGTAGTGAATCTAAACCACAGCAAAAACCTGAACCTTTCCCTCCTAATGCAGCATGTTTCCCATAAATTCACACTCAAGACCACTGTGGTACAACTACAAGTCATTTGAGACTACTATAGAATCAAGATTAGATCACACAGACTTGAGTTAGAAGAACAAGAGCCGGTGCTATAAGCTCAGTAGTGAATCTGAACCACAGCAAAAACCTGAACCTTTTCCCTCCTAATGCAGCATGTTTCCCATAAATTCACACTCAAGACCACTGTGGTACAAGTCATCTGAGACTACTAATACTATAGAATCAAGATTAGATCACACAGACTTGTTCCCGGTTGTGAGCTGCTCGCCCCTTCCGGTTTTTACACATCGGGCGCCACTGTAAAAACCGAAAGGGGCGAGCAGGTCACAACCGGGAATCGAACCCGAGTTGTCCGGTTGGCGGTCACCAACGCTAACCACTACACTAAAAGGTCGCACGACCATTTAGCATGGTCAGTTAGCACTGTTACACTACTATAGAATCAAGATTAGATCACACAGACTTGAGTTACAAGAACAAGAGCATGTGGTATACTAGCTCAGTAGTGAATCTAAACCACAGCAAAAACCTGAACCTTTCCCTCCTAATGCAGCATGTTTCCCATAAATTCACACTCAAGACCACTGTGGTACAACTACAAGTCATTTGGGACTACTATAGAATCAAGATTAGATCACACAAAGTTGAGTTAGGAGAACATTAGACCTAGTGGCATAAGCTCAGTAGTGAATCTGAACCACAGCAAAAACCTGGACCTTTTCCCTCTTAATGCAATATGTTGCCGACACCCAATCACTGTGGTACAGCTACAAGTCATCTGAGACTACTATAGAATCAAGATTAGATCACACAGACTTGAGTTAGAGGAACAAGAGCCTGTAGTATAAGCTCAGCAAAAACCTGAACCTTTTCCCTCCTAATGCAAAATATCACCACCACAAAATTAAACACATTTCCCATAAATTTACACTCAAGACCACTGTGGTACAAGTCATCTGAGACTACTATAGAATCAAGATTAGACCACACAGATTTGAGTTAGAAGAACAAGAGCCGGTGCTATAAGCTCAGTAGTGAATCTAAACCACAGTAACAACCTGAACCTTTCACCACCATGAAATTAAACACATTTCCCATAAATTTACACTCAAGACCACTGTGGTACAAGTCATTTGAGACTACTATAGAATGAAGATTAGATCACACAGGCTCGAGTTAGAAGAACAAGAGCTGGTGGCATAAGCTCAGTAGTGAATCTAAACCACAGCCAAAACCTGGACCTTTTCCCTCCTAATGCAAAATATCACCACCACAAAATTAAACACATTTCCCATAAATTCACGCTCAAGACCACTGCTGTACAAGTCATCTGAGACTACTATAGAATCAAGATAAGATCACACAGACTTGAGTTAGAAGAACAAGAGCTGGTGGCATAAGCTCAGTAGTGAATCTAAACCACAGCAAAAACTTGACCTTTTCCCTCCTAATGCAAAATATCACCACCACAAAATTAGACACATTTCCCATAAATTCACACTCAAGACCACTGTGGTACAACTACAAGTCATCTGAGACTACTATAGAATCAAGATTAGATCACACAGACTTGAGTTAGAAGAACAAGAGCCGGTGCTATAAGCTCAGTAGAACTACAAATAGCACAGTCAGGAAACTTGATGGGATTAATTTGTCACTTGGCACTTAAACTGATCTGGTCTGAGGCCGCTGGTCTTACACACATGGGCTTCCTAATCCCTCGCAACACATTTTATAGAGGGTCTGCATGGGGGGATCCTGGCGATGGTAAATTCAGGAGGACCAGCGCTGCTTAACTACTGTAACAGCAAACTGACTTGAAAAACATCTTGTGAATAAGTTCCTTGCATTGTTCTATTTTATTTGGTATTTGACCATGTGATCTGAAGAATTTGTCAATAGTATTTAATGATGAATTCAGAATAACCAAAAACGTGCTACATAGAGTTAGAGTGACCACTTACAACTAATAATTTACATTTCATGAACACTTTACTGTCAATGCTCATTGACTTTCACTGTTACGTCATCTCTGCTTATAATTTGAAGAGAAGGCATGTTACATGTTTACTTTATATGTTAGGCGTGCCATTTTCTTTTTAACTTAAACTTGAATTATCACCAAGCTGGGGTGAGAGCCAGTAAAGGTGATTCACACCTTTTCTGACCCCTTCCTCATGTGTGGGCAATCTTATTAAACAAAAATTGTCAAACAAACAAACATTGTCAAACAAACAAATAAACATTGTCAAACAAACAAATAAACATTGTCAAACAAACATTGTCAAACAAACATCAATTTGTGAAACAAACAAGCATTGTGAAACAAACATTTTCAATCAAACAAACAAACATTGTCAAACAAACAAACAAACAAACAAACAAATCTGACTCACCACGCCCCACCAGAGTGCGTCTGCGTAGCTCCTGAAGTCTGTTTCTCCGTTCTCGTCCACCTCGTCCTTCTCTGCCAGGTACACGAAGTAGGAGGAGAAGATCAGGCCCAGGAAACCGATGTACAACGTCGTGATCAGCTCCTAAAAACAAACAAACAAACAAACAGACAAACAAGAAATTAGAACAGTAAGGCCTAGGAAAAAAATGTTGTGTTTCCTGTTTCATTCCGAAAAAAAGTTAGGGTCGGTAGGTAGGGATTATCATTTTTCTTTCTTTTTTTATTAGACTTGGGCGATCTCTGGTGATCCAACTTGCACGAGGACACTTGTATTTTCAATATCAATGTTGGAAAACCGATTGTACAACGTTTCATCACTCAGGTGTCAGATCATGGGGCTAGAAAATTTTTTTTGTAGGGTTGGTCGGGAAACAGGAAACACACAGTCATTTTTTTCATAGGCCTAACATATTGGTACTGGTACCCAGGCTAACACAAGGCCACTTCTGTAGTGTGTATCTAATTTAAAAGTTATATTCAAGTAGAGGTCCAGATTTGAGCCTCTGGTATACCTGCACCTGCACCTTTTATTTATGTACACCTGCAGGGCTTTTGACAACTGCCCCAGTGGGCAATATGCGATTCTGTGGTAAAAGAAAATGAAATAATGAAATCTAAAGATATCAAGGCTCTATATGAAGTTCTACCCAGAGACATCCCATTGCCAAGAAAAGAGCATTAAGCTACCGTCTGGAGGCCAGCCAAAGATGCTATAAACATGGGCCATAATCCCGGTTAATACACCGAGCTTCGTAAATTATTCCTGCCGTAATACCATCCCTCGTGACAGCCATCAAAGGTGGTTATAATGATAATTCCCGGTCTGCGGGAGATGGTGTGATACCAAAGGGTGGCACCACCTCGCAAGGCCCGTAAAACACTCCCGAATGGATGATTTAAGGGCGCAGTGGTAGTTACTGACTCTCTAAGCTCAAACTTTTCTTATGAGCTAAAGTTACAGATGGGACAATGTACCCAAGGTACGTAGCAATGATTGGAAACGCTGCTACATTTGGTTCACTCTAAATTCAACTGACATTTCCCTGCTTTTCTAAAACATTTAGATAACTTCTTTATTGACTCAACAAAAGTAAGGACTTTCGTATGGTCTACTACAACTACAATCAAACAAAACTAAATACAAAAGGTGGTTATAATGATAATTCCCGGTCTACGGGAGATGGTGTGATACCAAAGGGTGGCACCACCTCACAAGGCCTATAAAACACTCACGTATGGATGATTTAGGGGCGCAGTGGTAGTTACTGACTCTCTAAGCTCAAACTTTTCTTATGAGCTAAAGTTACAGATGGGACAATATACCCAAGGTACGTAGCAATGATTGAAAATGCTGCTACATTTGGTGACTCAAAATCCAACTGACATTTTTTTGGCTTTCTAAACCCTTTAGATAAATTCTTTATTGACTCAACAAAAGTATAGGGACTTTCGTATGGTCTAATACAAATACATGAAGGACTAAAAAACTAAATACATGTCTTTGATGTCAGAAGATGGAAACATCTGACAATTGTTTCCTGTACGAAAGAGGATTTCCTGTACTGAATGTATTGCATTGATTAAGTGACCTTCTACATATAACAGAAAAGTCCCCTTTCTCTGCCTACTGAAAGCCTATAAGTTTTAAAAGAGGCTTTGAATGCGTGGACAGGTTCTTCAATTAAGGAAAGTCCCTAAAAAGTGTACATTTAGCAAGCTTTCAGGGACAAAGGTATTGTCGTTTGTTTTGTCACTGTGAAAGTCACCAAATGTTAATTTTTTGGGTCTTTTGATAATTTTGTGTCAGAATGTGTTTATGAAGGTTAGATATCCAGGTAAACAACAGCTGTTGTAGATATTTATTTAAAATCTACTACTGCAAAAAATCTGGAAATAACTCGTTCCGAGTGACATCCATCACTTTTCTTTAGTGTCATTAACAACTTGAACATTTCATATCAACAGAATGACTTTAAAATTTCTTTACAATAGAGTAGCATCATATTCCTCAAAGTTTTCATCAGTAAAAAGCAACATCTAAATTTTGCCATAGCATATTCTGTTGCAGATTCTGTGGCAGAGTGCCAGGCTAGCATCAGCTACGAGAGGTGCTGTGCAGCTAGAGCTGTAAAGAATGACTGATAGAAGTTGTCCAAGAGCCCAAGATATCAACCTTGGAAAAGTTTGGCAACTTCCAAGGTTTTTCTTGAATCCAGAAAGCCTTGCCATGACATACCAAATCCATTATTTGCTGGGCTATCTCCCAAATGCACAACTATCTTTCCAGTTACACTCGCCCGGTAATACAACAGCGTATACTCCGTAACGGTATCATAGCAGACAGTTTTAAACCAGCTGCATAAATCTTGTGGGTTGGGGAATCCTCTGGAGATACCTTCACGGATGGAAAACGACAGTTCAAGGCCTCTGCTAGAGGTGTCAAGAGCCATTTAGGGAAACCTGGGTTCTTATCGTGGGATCTGAAAATGGGAGGAAATGAAGTATTGGAGTACGGGTCTATGAACCGGTCTTTGGCGCCATATTCTAGTTACTGCTTACAGCTCAGTTTGGGTTGAAATGTGGCCTCTTGTTGCGTTTTTGGCTTTGATTCACGACCTTAAAACTTCTGTGGGAAATGAGCAACCCATCTGAAACTCTATCAAAAACTTAAACCCAGCTATAAAACAAAAGAAAAATGCCACTGTGGTGCTTTTATGTTTCCCTGTTGGTTAACGTTAGTGTGAATGTCTTTCAGTACCAAGGAAAGGGACAGTGTAAGTGTGAAAGTGAATCAGTACCAAGGAAAGGGGCAGTGTTAGTGTGAATGTCTTTCAGCACCAAGGAAAGAGACAGTGTCAGTGTGAATATCTGTCAGTACCAAGGAAAGGGGCAGTGTTAGTGTGAATGTCTTTCAGCACCAAGGAAAGGGGCCAAGGGTTAGTGTGAATGTCTGTCAGTACCAAGGAAAGGGGCAGTGTTAGTGTGAAAGTCTTTCAGTACCAAGGAAAGGGACAGTGTTGGTGTGAAGGTCTTTCAGCACCAAGGAAAGGGACAGTGTTAGTGTGAATGTCTTTACAGTACCAAGGAAAGGGACAATCTTAGTGGCAGCCATCTGTCCTAACCATCTCTCTCTTTTTTGTACATTTTTTAAGCCAATGATGGGTTCAACATTATAAGAGTGTTTCTAGCTTTACATATGAAACAATAGGATGTAATAGGAGTGTGTCTTACCTGTCTGTGGATAAAGACCACTTACCTGTCTGTGGATGAAGACCACGGAGCCAAGCAGTCGCCAGGTTCCCCCCTGCCTGTCCACATGTAACATCCGAAGAATCTGTAGGAAACGGATACCCCTGGGGTGGAGTTCAAAATACAGGTCAGTATATCTGTTATAGAAGAAGTATTTTTACATCTTTTTTTCTGTAAAGAAAGGCATAGGCATTCTGTGATGGCCCTAAACGTTCATGCTCATCATACAGCACTGTACATCCATACAAAAACATGGTAACTTAGAGAAAATTTACTGAAACTTTTTGAATAACTTAACACACCACAACCTTGACCTTCTGTTCTCTCAGCCAAGTTTGTGACCATGAGCTAAGTTAGCACAAAACAAAGACCCTTTTATCTATGGGTGGTCTTGATTGCTTCCTCCTCACAAAGGAAACTGAGGGATTGAAGTAGTTTTTTTCTTTTTTTGCCCACCTGCTCCATTAGTTTTCTGCAAACCTCTGAAAACCAAGAGACTGTTTTTGTGTGGCCTAAACTGATTTCTCAGTACGTCATACATGATTTTACAAAAGTCGCTGTACTTTTGTTGTGTCAATAATGTTCTCACTGTAAGTCAGCTTTCTTCCTCTATCTCTATCGATAATATAGATTCCCTTGAATAACTTTTAAGTTTAAAAACACACCACAACCTTGGCTTTCTGTTCTTTCATCCAAGTTTGTGACCATGAGCTGAATTAGAGCAAAACAAAGACCCTTTTATCTATGAGTGGTCTTGATTGCTTTCTCTTCAGAAAGGAAACTGAAGGATTGAAGTCATTTTTTTTATTCTTTTGCCCACCTGCTCCATTAGTTTTCTGCAAACATCAGAGTGAAAACCAACAGACTGTTTTTGTATGGCCGAAATGTTAGAGCTATGGTCTTCCCGCCATAGCTCTTATGCACATGCGCGGTGGTCCCCCAAACTGATTTCTCAAGATTTTACAAAAGTCAAGGTACTTTTGTTGTGTCAATAACGTTCTCACTGTAAGTCTGCTTTCTTTCTCTGTCTTTGTCGATAATATAGATTCCCTTTAATAACTTTTAAGTTTAAAAACACACCACAGCCATAACCTTCTGTGTTTTCAGCCAAGTTTGAGACCATGAGCTGAGTTAGATCATCCAAGTTTGTGACCATGAGCTGAATTAGAGCAAAACAAAGACCTTTTATCTCAGGGTGGTCTTGATTGCTTTCTCCTCACAAAGGAAACTGAAGGATAGAAGTCGTTTTTTTTTTATTCTTTTGCCCACCTGCTCCATTAGTTTTCTGCAAACATTTGAAAACCAAGAGACTGTTTTTGTGTGGCCGAAACTGATTTCTCAACTTACATCGTACATGATTTAAAAAAAGTCAAGGTACTTTTGTTGTGTCAATAATGTTCTCACTGTAAGTCAGCTTTCTTTCTCTATCTCTATCGATAACATAGATTCCCTTTAATAACTTTTAAGTTTAAAAACACACCACAATCTTGACTTTCTGTTCTCTCAGCCAAGTTTGTGGCCATGAGCTGAATTAGAGAAAACAAAGACGCTTTTATCTCAGGGTGGTCTTGATTGCTTTCTCCTCACAAAGGAAACTGAAGAATTGAAGTTGTTTTTTTTTCATTCTTTTGCCCACCTGCTCCATTAGTTTTCTGCAAACATTTGAAAACCTAGAGACTGTTTGTGTGGCCTAAACTGATTTCTCAGTACATGTCATACATGATTTTACAAAATAAAGTCGCTGTACTTTTGTTGTGTCAATAGTGTTCTCAAGTAAATCAGCTTTCTTTCTCTATCTTTATTGCTATCTCTTGAATAACTTTTAGTTTAAAAACACCACACAACCTTGACTTCTGTTCTTTCAGCCAAGTCTGTTATTGCAAACAAAGACCCTTTTATCTATGGGTGGTCTTGATTGCTTTCTCCTCACAAAGGAAACTGAATGATTGAAGTTGTTTTTTTTTTATTCTTTTGCCCACCTGCTCCATTAGTTTTCCGCAAACATTTGAAAACCAAGAGACTGTTTTTTGTGTGGCCAAAACTGATTTCTTGATACATTTACAAAGGTCGCTGTACTTTTGTTGTGTCAATAATGTTCTCACCGTAAATCAGCTTTCTTTCTCTATCTTTATCTAACTTTTCAGTTTAAAAACACAAGTTTGTGGCCATGAGCTGAATTAGAGCAAAACAAAGACCCTTTTATCTATGGGTGGTCTTGATTGCTTTCTCTTCACAAAGCAAACCAAAGGATTGAAGTTGTTGACTGAGGTAACCTCACACCGGAAATCAATCAGGCTTTAATTTTCCTGTACTTTTCCCACAGGGAGGCCGGAACCTTTTAAACCTGGGAGATCCATTTTCTGTCCAATTCTGGCCGGACTGTTGTGAGCTTGATTAGGCTAGAGACAAGCCCCCTGCTGCGGTTCAGCACACCTTAGGCTAATTGATCACAGCGAGGGTTAACTACACGGAAGGTGAAGTAAAGGTTATCAATATGCCAGGGCAGTTTGCAGATCTATCTTTTGAATTGAATTGAATGTCTTTATTTCAGGTATTTCAACCATGAAAACAACGGTACAAACATAGAAACACAAACTATACATACAGCATAATATACATTTAAAAAAAAAGAATTTCTGTACTGACAATCTGACCTCAGAAGACTTTGCCTTGTTTTTGGTAGTGTATATTTTTCATTCTTTCGTCATAGAAAAAACAAAAGACAATTGAACAACAGAAGATGGAACAACAAAATTATCTTGGAAGTTCATCTGTGTTGGTAGTAATCACAGTTAATGTTAAACTTTATACCAACACAAAGAGTACACAGGGATCAAATTCCTTGTTGTTCTTAAGATTACCTGATGGCTGAGGTTGCGAACACTTGTCCATTGGATCCCACACACAGCACTATGATAGACGCCACCACTACGATCAGATCTGGAGGGAACAACAACAACAGAGCAACATTATTACCTTCGGCATGAAGATTATGTTTCTGGTAGCATTCGTGTGTGTGTGTGTGTGTGTCTGTGTGTGTGTGTGTGTGTGTCTGTCTGTCTCTCTGTCTGTTAACATGATAACTTGAGAAGGCTTACATAGATTGTCTTGATATTTGGTAGGTCTTGGTGAGACTATTAGTATTAGATTTTGAGCCCCCTGGTAGCTTGTTATGGTACTGCAGCAGAACATCTGATTTTGATGCCTCATGATTTGGACACACTAGGTCACAAATTTTGGACTGTATATAGCTCCTGGGATTGAAAAAAAATGGCTTGAGTTTGGGCCCCCTAGCAGCTTGTTCTGAAATAGCAGGAGTACTTGTTTAAAAAAAAGCATACAAACTTCCTCTAAACCAGTTCCGCCCAAAATGATACTTCCATTCCAAAAGAAATTAATAAAACTAATATGATTTTCATTAATATAATTTAAATGATTTTCAGTATCAAAAACTTTGTAGCAATCATCAGAAGGCATTATACTTAACCCTGACCTTGAATCCAGTCATCCAACTTTCTACTACAGCACTGTACTTTCACTGTACTTTCTAACTACTGCAACTTTTCAATGTCAAGGTGCTGTTCTGATTCTACCTCCATGAAAAATGGCATTCTCTTTATCTAAAGTAGGTGCAATACTTGCCCCAGGGGTGTCTGAACTAGAAAGTCAGAAACAGACGAACCAGAACACATCGCTGGAAGCCTTATAAACTCAGAACTAACTGATTGAGAAGCTTTCAGTTCCCGGCCCGTAACGCTAATGTCTTAATATCCTTGAGGTGATGATGAATACTAGATAAGAAGCCTTCTAAGTCTTTCAAGAAAGCGCGAGTACTGGAAGTGCAGAAACTTTCAAAGCGGTTTTATTTGCTTGGTGACCTTCACTGTGAATTTATGACACTGTAAACAGGGCTTGAAATTCATTTTGGGAATAGGAGCACTAGTGCACCCAACCTAAAATATTAGGTGCACAAAAATTTTTTTTAGAGGATTCTTATAATTTTAAGTTCTTAATAGATGATCTATATAATATATACACACTACCAGAGAGTAATCTTCATCAACAGTTCAGATACTTTCAGCTGCACTCTGCTACTCTTAAGTGAAAAGATGCAAGGACACAGCATTGAGGCTTTCTACAAATTCAAGCCCAGTACCTTTTCAATTCCAAGTCAACAACCCAAAAGACCACCTTGCCACCACTAGCACATGAAAAATTGAATGTCCAAGAGACCAAGACTATTATTACTGCTCTTACAATGTATGACTGTGTGTATGAAAAGGCTTCCTTGGTAGACATCAGTTCAGACTGATGACCAAACTGGTATTAACCACATAATCCATGGTGTTCCACCAGGGCACTAATGGGCCATTATATCTCAGTACAGCGCTTCAAAATGTTTTCTGAAAATGTTACTGGACAGCTGTGAAAGAGGCCATCATCTTGAGCTGAACTGTTAAGAATGCATTTTATAGATGAAGTAAAAATCATGATCAAACAGTAAAAAAACTTTTAAAAATTTCAAACAAGAAATCAAAGATTCCATTACTCCATGAAATGATATTTATCAATTAGACTGCAGTACTACTTTGTCTGCAAGAAGACAATGCTAAATTGAACTGCAGTTGCATAAAATTATCTATTCTCTATTTTTTTCACCCTGTCGCTTCTTATTTTTCTAAAAAAAATCAGAGAACCAACAAATTAAATTGTTCTGGCCCTTTGAACATTCAAAATACTTAAATACATTATGATCCCTGTCAAAAGTTACTTAAAGCAAAAATACAACTACTGTATTTAACCTCAGGAGTTACCATTTTATCATATTTCATCACGTACTGTTTTTCCAAGCAATAAACTTTGTCCTTGGAATGTTATACTTTAATGGAACCCAAAATAACAATGTCTAACGTCATATAATAGTACTTAGGAAGGTTGACATTTAAAGTTCCTGTCTTCTACTCCACTAATGGCATAGCTACGACATCAATTTGTGTGTAATAGTTCCCCTTGACATGACTAACTATCATATGAAATAAATAATGTCACTGCTAATCAGTTTTTTATACGCTGGTGTCTGTATGAATATGAGTGTGACTGTTGTCATTTGTGAAACATAGTAATTTAAAAGTCTTCAAAGTGAAAAGTTATTTTTATGATAAAAAATACATTTACATTAAAGGAAATAAAGATAACAACAGAATATGACTGGCATTTTTATTAATATTCACTAAATCCAGAATTGAGCATTATTATGAATTTAAAAGGTCATAAATTTTGGAAACTGTGTCCCACCCAATATATGGTCACAGACATATACACACTCATACACAAACACACACTCACACACACCACACACACACACACACACACACACACACAGTCAGTCACACACACACACAAACACATAATGTACACAAGCACACACACACACACACTCAATCATGACATCTCAATGTTTTAAGACTCTAGTATTAATATTGAGTGTGAAAATTAATTTGTCTGGAAATTAATGACGACCACCTATCTGCTAACTCAGCTTTTTTAGGATCACCTAACTAGCCCACAGCTATACCAGGACAGGTGTTCTCTCCAGTGTTCCCTATCCCCACATCTATACCAGGATTTATGGCTCTTCTTCCCCACAGTGATTCACTACAAATGAGCACCCAGCACTGTGGTATTACGGAGCTCAGTTAAAGCCATCCCATGGGATAGAAACCCTGAGTTATGGCTCAAGCCCTGTCTGGTAATGATGTAAGATTGGGGGTAGCGGTGTGGTGTAAGTCGGCTATACATCAAGAATGTAATATGCGTTCCCTTTGCACTTTTGGCGTAATCGCTTTCCGGCATTAACTTTTAAGTGATGGATAGAACTAAAAATTGTAACAAATGCTGAGTATGTACGTCAAGTTTGGTGCAGGTAGACATCAGAAATCATATTTCATATTTCAAATACATGTACCTGCACAGCTCCAATTGTACATGCACTGCAGGTGCATGTAGTATTTGAGTCAGGTAAACGTTGGATTGTGTATAAAATTTCTTATTTCTGTTTTAAAAGTTTTAATAGAGTTTAAAATAATCTTACAAACAATGTCATGTACACATGTCAAAACTATTTAATATAAGGACAGCGTTCCAATTTTAGAAATCTAAATATCAAAAACACAGAAGACTACCAAAGGCAATTATATATAACCATGTAAACATTATACACAATCAGATATAACCTTCATGACCACTACACATTATTTGATGATCATAGTAATTGATTTTTTATTTGTCTGTAGAGACCAGTAACTCTAGTCCAGCCATGCCACGATGAGTAGCTAGCATCAGCTGTATCCCACTACTCATGCCTGAATTACATGTAGAAGATTACTCTGTGTCACAAATCAATATATGGGCACATAAAGGTCCGGCTAATCTACGACACCGTACTTCAGAGGACCGGGGTTGCTATTTTTGTTGGCTTTGAAGCCGTGGTGTGACTCCAGGGAAAGGAACACATGATCTATATGTATGGTGATCCCAAGTGCGGTACATACTGACCTTTACTAATGACACCCCGCGGTGGAAGGATATATACCGTTGTAAAAAGTGGGAGAACCATTCGTCAACTGGTGGTCCCGCGCTCGGGGAAGTGATTTGCAGGGTGAAGGACTTGACACGTGTAATCAGGGCAGTCCGTCATTAACTCTACATTCTCTGTCAGGATCTAGCTATGCTCACTTGTCAACTGGGACAGATGGCCCTTGTGTAAATCACAAACTTCACACACACAAGTTAGAAGCTGTGTACATGCGTACAACAGTGAAACACTTGTCACATTTACATGTAAGTTTCGAATTTCTTCAAACTACAAAATGTAACAAACCCCATCTGTATTTACTTCTGAGACAGAAGTATTGTTTTTGGATGGGGCTGGTTTAGCGTTTGTATGTATCTTTTCTTCAGAAGTGTGTAACATCAATGCCTGAGCTGAGTCCTGTATGTGTTCTTCATAGTCCTGTAGTCTGTATCTTTTGTACCAGTAGCATCCAAAAAGAATCTGAAAACAACCTTGGCTACATCCGAAAATAATGTCATGAGGTTGGTAGAACATAAGGATATTTGGGTTTTCTTATACACAACCAGTGATTTTCCTACCTTGTCTGAATGAAAGTGTCTGATAGACTTTGAAAGGTAAGCAAGGTAGGAAAAAACCTTGGTTATGTATACAAAAATGCAAATAACCTTGGTTACAATAGCATTTGTAAGCTTATTTTCATGTGGAGAGGCAACTTTGGTGGTGTCTGATGTGCACTACAAATTAAGAAAAGCTGTCCTTGGTGCTGAACAACAAGTAACTGTCAGATAGATACCCGTAGAAGCACTCTGGTGCTTATAAATGCCCTTTGGGCTGAATTTTGGTTGGCTCCACAGTAAGCAGCCTTGCATGGATGTTTTCAGCCTGATGGTCACTGGTATGTGGCAAGAAATGAACTTTTACCCGATGTACCAAGGGTGAATACATATCACCTGTTTGAACTGAAATCCCTGCCCGTAGCTGTCCTAACACATGAGTAATAAGAGATCGGTGTTTAAGTCTGTTTTCTGTCCTTGAAGTCAGCCCAGCCGCAAGCCAGATCTCTGTAAGGTGATTCAGGCTTCTGTATGCTGGCCTCAACACATGTCTTCTGTGAAGTACCACTCTAAATCACCATACCACCAGCCAAAAAGTGTAACTTTTACAAGTTGGAAAGTTGTACATAAGACTATGCTGATGAAATTGTCTGCCATTCTGTAAACCATTTGTTCATCTATGTTCACAACACAAGAGACTGCAAAAAAATTGGCTGTTTTGGGGTAAGATGGTTGCTTAGCAGAGAGTCTTAACTATGTAAAATTGAACAGTAATGTGTCTATGCCTGGAGGTGGTTGGTTGTGTGGTGTGGTTGGCTGGCCAGGCTTTCAAGACTGTATCAGAGTCAGGTGAAAGGAACATGGCATAACTAAGTATGGTAACAAACCCAGTGAACCCTAGTACGATTCCAATCTCAAACTCTACTCTCTGTAAGATCCACTACTCACATGAAGAAAGACATACTGAATGGCCAAAATGTCTTCCGGGGACAGTACATTGCTGTTGAGGGGAATGAGAACGCATTCTTCCATCCCACAAACAGTCAGTGATCCATCCCCAAATTGCAACAAAGTCCATTACAACGTTATGGTTAGTATAAATCCTTTAAAATACCATCATAATCTGCTCTGTACACCAGATGATCAGTCTTCCAATGCCACCAATGATAAGGGGAAAGCCATGGAAAGGATTTATCATGGATTTAAATTTCATAATGCCCTGTGGCAATGGGATTACATACCCAGAGAGACCATGTCAATCAAATCAAATCTTTCATACAGTCTGACATTGGGATTTACGATTTTTCTGCAATTTCCTTCCTTAGATGATGCATTGAAAGAAGGAGATTATTGTCAGCGAAGGGCACTCTAATCTGTATTGTATAAAACATATCAACTGAGTTCTACTCCTCACTTAATTGCACACAAATATACTACATGTGATACATGAGTTCTTCCTAACAAAGCTAGAATATGTACCATACAATTTACGTTAGGCCATATTGATATGGTTGTGTGGATGAGGTCTTCTGGGCAATGCAAAACTGATGCGAGCATGCTAAGAAATAGAAAAAAATGTGGCCTTTCTCTGCACATGAAAAAACACATTACGAAAATAATTTTATCAGGTTCATCAGAACAAAGGAATACAAGCAATTTTTTCTCTCACCTGCTTACGTTTTGATGTCTGACTCAGACACCTTCTTCAGAGCTTCTGACTAGAGTCTGCTTCTTGCCACTATATGTAGCTCTTGTAGGTGACACTTAGCCATGTTTTAGATTGCGTTTTCACAGCAAAAACAAGTTACCTAGTACATCAGCTACTGTAGATGTAGTAACAAGAAGCAGTACTCCAGTCAGAAGCTCTGAGGAAGGTTCTGATAGACATCAAAACGTAAGTCTCATTTGTATACCAAAATCCTATGAGAGAAAACAGACTTTTTGTTCAAGAAAAAAGGTTAACAGTTCCATCAACATCTACAGTATACTTAGTCTATCTTTCTAATACAGATTCATCGCTATCTCCCAATAGTAGGGCTTATCATGTAGCCTTGAATGGAGTCCTTCAGAACTCTGATAAGGTCCTAGTCAAAACAAAACTGCGCCCAAGGCAAATGTTGAAAAGGTGTTAACAACAGCTAGTGTGTTATGCCGAAGGGCAGTTATACTGGCTATACAGATACAGATTATTTTATTCTGAACTTGTAAGTAGAAAATTGGGTAGTGAATACTCTAAGAGTATGCCAGCTTTTACATAAAGGGTTGTACATAGAGACATAACATAGCGGTCAAAATATTGAATTGCTGCTTAAGGGCTCAGTATAGTGTACTGGTTTGAAAGAAGGTTATCACAAAAATCTTTTTTGATATACTCGGGTGAAAACACTCAAGCATTGATGTACCAGACTGTACCTGAATGTATTTTACATACAAGTAATTTTGTGACTGAAACCAACTTAATTTCTACCATGAAGATGAAACTTCATCACTGGAAAAAAAGACAAAATTAAGTAGGTGGGTGGGGAAGATTGACTGGCAGAAGGACACCAGGAATACCACCAGAAGCCAAGGATTGCGTACATCCCGGAAGTCAGAAATCTCTGATATTTTGTTCCAACGGTACAAATAAAACTAACCATAGAATTCTGACACTATTTGCTTGAGCATCGAGGCCTCACGTTTTCTCTAGATCAGTTCTGACAATAAAACATAGTGCTTTTTTCCACTAGTCACTAAGCATTAGTTGGTATGTAATGGCCCGTACCAAAATGTTTCTTTGCTTCTCTGATTTTTTGTTCCAACGGTACAAATAAAGCTAACCATAGAAATCTGACACTATTTGCTTGAGCATCGAGGCCTCACGTTTTCTCTAGATCAGTTCTGACAATAAAACATAGTGCTTTTTTCCACTAGTGGCATTAGTTGGTATGTAATGGCCCGTACCAAAATGTTTCTTTGCTGCTTCACCATTGTAGAAGAGCTTAGGATGGGGATCTTGGGACCAGCCTGGTGGGAAATACTGCCATAAGATGGATGACTTCTCACACATGTTCTGACTTTGACACAGTACTGACTTTCTCACGTCTCAATGGAATAGGGGGAAACATATCTACAAAAGTCACTACGGCCTACGAAAATTAATGCTGTTATTCTGATTACGGGCCTGAAAGAAATAGGGTTGGTAGGTATGCTATCTTTTTTGTCTATTTCAGCTGAAGTGATACATTTATAATTACAGTTTAACAATTTATTTAACTTCTTGCATGTTAGATCAAAAATTGTACGTCGCTTGCTAGTGGTTAAGCTTCCAAAAAAGGCTAGGGTTGGCAGGTTTTTGCTAGGGTCGGTCGGGTAACTGGAAACAGTACGTTATTTTCCTGGCCTAACGTAGTCATGATGCATGTGCCTTTACTTTGCCACTGTCCGGCAGCTATGCATTTTTCCACTAGTAAAGCTCCTATGTGACGCACTGCACTGTTCGCTTTGCACTGTGACTCGCAAGATAAAGTATTTCAATTTGAATAAGCCCAAGGCCCTCCCCTGGGTTCCTCTGTCATGGATTTGGGTGGGTTTACGGAGCCCTGATTGAGTTGGAGGTAATGTATATTATGCAACGTGTTGGAGGAATATGGAATACTGCCCTGCGGTAGGGTTGTCGGGTTGGATTCGAATGGAATAGAGGAGCATCTGTTGACACCACAGGCATCTCCGTGGTCGGTTGCTAGGGTATTTTTTCCCGTTGCCAGGCAAGTATAATGAAGTGTCAGGTTATATATATATTTTGTATATGATGCAGATATTTTTTTTTGCTAACTGTAAAACATTTAAAAGTAAACAAAACTGTATGGAAGGAAAACTTTTATTGAAATAAAATGAACTTTGGGGCTTTACACATGCACTTTTAATGTTAGCTTTTTATGTTAAATGGATGATTTATTTTAATTTATGTCCAAATGCCTTTTCAATCTAAGGACAGTGAAACTCGTAGCCAATCAGAACTGTTGTTTATCTTAAGTTTCTGGTGAATATTAAGACCAGTATCTTATTAACTGTTGTATTTTTTTAGTACATATTAAGCTGAAATCTAACCAAAAAAAAGAACCCCTTAGCTACTGGTCCTAATTTTTTACAGTTACTAGAAACACAACTTTAATTTCCCTAGGCCGCAGAGCAGCTTAAGTCTGAATATGAAATAGTTCTGAGATTGCCAAATTTATATTTAGTCTAACATTTGTCATGCCCCATTACACAGTATGACAATCATAAGGTGTTGTCAGTGTCATTAGAGAGAAGTGGCACCTCTGGAGCTTTCCACATTACTGAACAACCTTCAGAAGGTAATTGAGTGTAATAGATTCTCCTTGTCACTTCTGTGGTGAGACTATACTCCACATTTAGTATAGAAGGTTGACATCTAATGGTTTATCTTGATGGCTTTTTACTTTTTGTTACATGTATATGTAGGCAAAATAGAAGCATAAGAGAGAAAGAAATCAAGTTGTTGTGACCTGATTTAAAAACGGAATACTAATTAAAAAATTCATATTTTTCTAGAGGCATCATGGAGTGGAATTTGCAGCCACCAAAAAACAGATAGGTAATAAATTTTTAACTTCCTGGGAAAAAGTATGGAAACACAAGCAAACACAAAGACAAAACCTCTGTACATGATGGTAAAGCTAAAAAAGGAAAACTTCCATTTCTGTGAATATTGAAGCTTGAAGGAACCATGGATACTACGTTTTGTCAATGTCATCACCCCTATTCAGCCAAAGAGCTGCCAGAAGTGGGAATCTAATCTGTGAATGAATAAAATAAAACTATCCAAAGAGAGGAGAACGATAATGCTTACCGATAATGGAGATGGGTTTCCTGGCGAATCGGAAGCGTCCGCGGATGCCGACGTACTTGCTCCGACAGCCCGCGGACCACAGGCGCACGGTGTACTCCAGACCAAAGAACACCACCAGAAATATCTCCTGCAGGAAGTGGTTTAGATTCAAGAACGTTTCAGTTGGACACAGCAGAGGTAGAAATACAAGAGTGCTCGTCTTGGAACCAAGAGGTCCCGGGTTCAAGTCCTGACCTATCTTGTGCCCTTAGGAAAGGTACTTTACATGACTTTCCTCACTTAACTCAAGTGAAGATGAGTATTGTCTTGTCCTGTATTTGTTTCTACGTGTTGGACACAACACCAGCAATAGCTGCCTGTGTCCCACGTGTATTGCACTGTTGCAATTTCAATAAATCAAATCAAATCAAGGAGCATATTTATACTTACCATCCAAAAGAGAGTTGCGTTTGCCAGGACTGTGTAGCTGTCTATTGTAGAGAGAACACTGAAGATCAGGCAGACCAGAACCATCACAAACCTGTTGAGGAAAGAGAGAGGAAAAAAAAGGAAGTCAGAGATGGCAGACTTCACCCCAATATGAGCCCTCTAGCAGAATATACAGAAACTACACTGCAGAAACAAAAACATACACAAGGACAAGCCGTAAACAATACTTCACTCCCTTCAGCTGAAGATATAGTAATTTATGATCAAAATATTGAACAGACTAATTTAGATTTAATATTCATACTGACTACAAGGACACATGCGCTTAAGCCTGATAAAATCATGCTTCTAGCAATCCTCCAAACAATCTATAACTTGGACCCCTAGTATATGGCTAATACTTGTTTTCAAGATAATGATTGTTATGTTAGTCCAGTGTTTGCTGTGTGTTATCAAGAATTCACTGTGCCCCTGAACCAAAGTTAAGTGTAAGCACCACAGCAGGGACTAGTGATGTCGGTTCAACTAACATAATCTTTCCCAAATGCTGAGTGCTCAGCAAAGAATTTAGCACTATGTCTTAAATTTCAGCCTTTGGTAGGATCTAGGACTCAAACACATTACATAATGTCTGCATTTTGTTGACATAATACTTAATCTTATGTTGCACACTTTAAATTTTTTTCCATGCACCAAATTTCTATGTAAGGTGCACAGGTGCAGCTATACCCAAAAACAAATATTCTGTGTCCTTGTATAAGGTCAGCAATGCCTGTGGGCCATAAATGTCAGGGTGGAAACAGCGAGGCCTTCTGTCGCTGGATGACAGATCACTTCTGCACACGTCCAGGCCAGATAATTAATCCCGATAGATGTCCACAGGCCATAGCAGGCAGACCGACGGGCTTCAGGAGGTAGACTACTGTTTCATGTACTACGTTGGCAGAAGGTACTGCACCTGAGCAAAAATCCATAATGTATTGTGCAGAACATCTCATATAAGGTCGAATTCACGTATATAAGGTTAACATCCCGTCTGTAGTTTCCAAATTTTATGTCGGAAAAGATATCATCTGCAACAGGCGAAATTCTGATGCACGCTGACCAAACATGAAAAATCAGGGTTTAGCGCAGGTGCAGTATATTCTGCCGACGTGCTACATGTGTTTCATGTCTACATCATATATGTTCAGCCTCAAGTAGCTATAGGCCTGTGTATAACATTGCACCTGAACATACTCATGCCCGTAGCCAGGATTTTGAATGGGGGGCTCTTCTCAAAGTCTGAGAGACCAGCGAGCGCCGAGACATGAGTTTCCTAGGGGGGTTGGAGGGCATGCTCCACCTGAAAATTTTGAAAATTGAATCTTTGCAGGGGTCCACCCCCAAAAAAAGTCCAGGGTCGGCAGGTTTTTCTAGGTTAGGTCGGGAAACAGGAAACGCAACATTTTTTTTTCCAGGCCTTAGGTTTGCCAATCGGGCATTGCAAAAAAAAAAAAAAGAAAAAAATACCCTGTAGCATGTCTGTCCTTGGTGCTGAACTAGACATTAAGAGTTCTTGGTGGAACAAGAGTCAATTCTAATTCTATTACACAAAACCAATCTGGGTGGTTGCTGACAGTAATTCAAATTATACCTAAATTGATAGCATTTGCCATTCCTATACAGTGATACTGATCTATAGTCTATCTGTATGATATCTGTACTGACTGAGAAGTTAATTATCTTAATTATCCTCTTGCCAAAAGATAGATCATACTATCATAAAATGATAATCCTGTTATCTCTGAAGTGACTTATCAACAGTTTTTCTTCCTTGCAAAAACTCCAGCTGTGATTGACAAATGATGCTGTTTTTGACCCTAGCTATAGCTAGGCCCTGTGGTTATATATTATCTATATATTAGGCCACACCAATTTAATTTCTTGGTTAACGGATTTTTCTACAAAAATAATGGAGCGGGCGGGCGAAAAATAAATAAAAATAAAAACAGGCCTAGGCATCCTATTATGGCCCAAAATGGTACGATAGGAGCCATGAAGTCAACACACCAGGCTGGTTCAAAATTTAAACAATGAATTTTGAACTTTTAATGATAATACTGCATTGAAAGATGGAATTACTGTAACAAGTAGTAAGAAAAGGACTGTTTTCAACTGTTCAGGGCAAAATATGAGCATTTTGCAATTGATTCTGAATTTTTATTTTTATTTGCAAATCAGAAAAAAATGAAGCGGTGAATCCGTTAACCAAGAAATTAAATTGGTGTGGCCTTAGCCCATCTGACAGTCCCATGGGCATTGATTTTAATGTGAATCAAATCTGTACAAATGTTTTTTATTGATTTTAATGTGAATCAAGACTTTTACCATGCCAATGTTTGTACTCCACAGAGATTGTAAGTGATATGTACATGTACAGGGTTGGACAAGTCCAATTGCCCTGGGCAAGTAACACTAAAAGTTCTGTTCGGGCAAGTGCATGTGCATCTCGCCAGCAAGAAATTTCTAGAAACGTAAGAAAACTTTATGGTCCTACAACATCTAATAACTGACACAAATTTTTATGTCTCTTGTCTATGAATAGTATAAAGAGTTTAAACAAACACGCACCCTGCATATTCAAAGCTATGATGAAGATGACTACCCTTAATTCAACTCACACCTACTCTACCCTATCAGCTGTTAAAAAAGAGAAACTGTTACTAAGAGTTCAGAAATAAAAATAGTCATGTTAACTATAATGTACATGTATGTACTTTCATACATGCAAGATTTGAGCTTCCTGGCTTTCTATAACTGGAAATGTCTGGTCAGGGGAAAGCTTTATTGAGCTGCCTCCGTCCTACAGGTACTATCTTACTGCTCTAAGTAACCCCGAAGGTACCACATGTAGGGTGCGTACATAAGTCAACATATCTGTGAAAATGTACTTTTAACATGTAGCCGCTTTGATGTGGGCTAACCCCCCGGATTGATACGAAATCGCGATCCCCAGCTGAGAAATCCACGGCACTTAATGACGCCAATCAGGTGGTTGCAGGGCGTCATGGGGGGGATTTGTGGGGAAAATAAAGCTGTCACGTTTTCTGACAAATCGCATTGTAGCATACTGCGCTAAGCATGGAGTATGGACATGGGAAAAAACATTGTTTATGATATATAGTCGTGAGGTTTAGGGCATATATGCTAGGGCTCAAAACAAACATTTTAACTTCCTATCTGCAGAGAAAAGTTTTGAAATCACAGAAAAGGCAAGAATTGAAGATCTCGTTACCTCTATCAAATATTTCAGATTTTGCAAATTTCTTGTTCATTGTGCTTTCGTGCATTTTGCAACTGGCCTCCAGAACGCAACAGAAATGCATATAGCAGGATATGAGATAACCTTTTCTTGGACCTTTGACCTTACTTCCTGTCAATATCCCTGGTGCCCTTAGCAAGTGCAAATAACTTTATTTGGAAACACAAGTGAACACATAATATGCAAAGAGACACATTGAAAACAAAACTTCCATACATGGGGGGTAAAGCGTTTTTGAGCCCTGTATATATACATTTTGTAATTCAGTACACATACTCTATACAGTTGCAGTGTGCATTTTACAACTTTATGAAATACCACAGAATAATTTTCAATCCCTCTGGCAGAACTGAATCAGCTACCATTTGCACATGTGTACACACTGCCATATATCAAGCTTATAGCATACATATATACATGTCTGCAAACGTTTGATTTAAAAACACATCGGGAATTGGAACTGTACCGGTTGTAAGGGCTAGTGTAGATAACCTTCACTCAAGATACCAAGATAAGATGCAATTTACTTTAGTGTTAAGAAGGAAAGGGAGGTTTTATTGGTAAACTTTGAAGTTCACACTTTTGTAGAACAAAACACATGTTCTCGGAGTTATGATTTTGCCAGTTGCAGTAAGATGTCAGTACAAAATAAAACCACTGAAAACATTTCAATATCTACTGTCACAGTGATAGCACATCAATGACACTGACAAGCAGAAAGCATATGGCCTGGGAGCATATACATTATTGATTTTCGAACGATGATTCACACACCTGCTCAGTCTCATTTTTCTTACAGTGTCACTCTTTGCCCACTCAAATCTGAAAGGAAAGTTTTATACTCGTGTTCATGATATTCAAGTTCATCTCATTTCCTGTGTCTATAACTTTTGAAATGTTATTCTACATCTGCCTGTCAATCTTCCCCAAATCATGTGCTGTCAACCTCTTAAGTTTTTTTTTCATTCACATAGTTTTTTTAGCATTAGATAGCAAGCACAGATGTGCTTATAAGACAGATCTTTTGCTGAAGAACATACAAAATACAGGTTGAAATAACTAGTACAAAATGTGTAAAGAACATTCCTGTGTCTGACCTTGTGGCCTCCTGCCATTCTGCCGGTCGATCTGCCCTGATGACCATGTGCTGTCAACCAACAGACACACAAACCCACGCACTGCTCAGCCACCCAAAACAATACTTCTGTACCCAGAAGTTACTTCCATACCCGATAGGCAAGAGAAATGACAAAAGGCCAGGATAACGTTGACAGAAAGACAGTATGACAAATAGTTTTGTCACCCATACAGGTTCCTTAATCCGGATGTAGTGTTTGGGTAGGTTCTCAACATGTACCCAGGGACAGGTAAGTTATGGATATCTTTGAAATACAGGAAGTAAAGGGTTTCTTTTAGCATTAGAAGTGTGACTAGTAGAGTATGATAGATGTAAGGATGGTGACCAACTGCTTTGGGCCTGTGCAGTAAATATGTGCAGTAACCATCCTTCAAAAGCTATAAATAGTGGTTCTGGGGAGAGGTATATTATATCATACTGTGCATGTCGTAAATATTCCCTGAGGAAACTGGGTAAGCTACTTTTGGGTCAAAAGGATGTTTCGGGAAGTAGACTGTAGTTTAAGGGGAGGTAGTACATGTATGTGTGTTGTTCTTCGTGTAACAAACACTGAAACAGTTAATGTTACTGTAAATGTGATTTTTGAATGGTTACATCAATATTTCACATATGTTGTAATAAGCATCGGACCTAAAATATGAAAACTTGC